TTTGCTGACCCAGCCCGAACGACGCAGGGGCCTCTGCGCATAGGCGATAAGTCAGTCTGGCATTTTTGCGGGCAGATTGTCTGTTCCACTAGCACTTCCTGGAAGCTCCCAGGTTTCGCTTCTGTCGACCTACGCCCTCATGCGAACTGTTTCGGTCCTACTTCAAGCTTATCACCCCCGAATTCGGCTTGGGTCTAGCTTTCTGTGGCACACCAAACCCTGTCACCACAGCAGCATTGGCTTCTTGCTTCGGGGACAGCACAGGCAAAGTAAGACACCACCCTTCTTGGGTCTTAACTTAGGTTTTTGGGTTTGTTTTCATCCCGGACTGGGGAAAAGTCTTTCATCATTCTCCTTTTTTTTTTTTTTTTTTCTGTTTGCTCGGAAAAACCCGCCACCTATCGGTGTCTGACTCTGCCTACAGTTCAAAATAGTCATTTTGACTGACCGGAGTCTATGGTGGGTAATTGAACGTAGTGAATTTAGGCGAGGGTTCTCCGAACCCGCCTATTCACATAGTTCATACTCACCATAGACTCCGGGTCCCCCCCAACCTCCCCACTTTTTCCATCGTGTTGGTCTAAGTCCTCGAGGCGGAGAGAAAGGAACCAGAGTGATGGACGGCTACCTGTGGCGCTGCCAGGTGGCCTCGGTCACGTGGGTTCGTGGGGCTTCCCCTGACCTGGATTCTATCTCTCCGTCACCAGCAGAATTGCTGATTAATGCCTACAGTTCAAAATAGTCATTTTGACTGACTGGATTCTATGGTGGGTATGAAGTACCTGAATAGGCGGGTTTGGAGAACCCTCGCCTAATTCACTAATTTTGGTGAATATTTTTGTCATTTTTGGTAAAAAGTGATATTTTTGACTTCTTGTTCAAAACCACAAGTCCAATTGCTTTTATATTACATAAATAGGTACTACATGTGGACCTCTCTCAGATTTGTTCATTTTGTAATGATATCTTTAATTCTCTAATTTTGGTGAATATTTTTGGTAAAAAGTGATATTTTCGACTTCTTGTTAAAAACCACAAGTCCAATTGCTTTGATATTACATATATGGGTACTACATGTGGACCTCTCTCAGATTTGTTATTTTTGCCTTTTTTGGTAAAAAGTTGTATTTTCGACCTCTAGTTAAAAACCACAAGTCCAATTGCTTTGATATTACATATATAGGTACTATATGTGGACCTCTCTCAGATTTGTTATTTTTGTCATTTTTGGTAAAAAGTGATATTTTCGACTTCTTGTTAAAAACCACAAGTCCAATTGCTTTGATATTACATATATAGGTACTACATGTGAACCTCTCTCAGATTTGTTCATTTTGTAATGATATCTTTAATTCTCTAATTTTGGTGAATATTTTTGTCATTTTTGGTAAAAAATGATATTCTCGACTTCTTGTTAAAAACCACAAGTCCAATTGCTTTGATATTACATATATAGGTACTACATGTGGACCACTCTCTGATTTGTTCATTTATTTCATGATGATATCTTCAATTCTCCAATTTTGGTAAAAAGTTACATTTTTCGACTTATTGTTAAAAAACGCAAGTCTGATTGCTGAGGTACGTCAGATAGACGTTGTTCGGATTTGTTCATATTCTAATGATATCTTCAGTTCTTTAATTGAAATATGCATTACAAACAGCAGAGCTATCTCAGCCGAGAGGCTGCTTGTTTTCAAATATGCCAATTAATTTCCATTTGTACCAAAATTAAAAAAGAACCTACAGAAAATGTTGTAAATTGCATCATGCAGACATGTGTCCTGCAAAACAGGTACCGGGGGTAGATATTTTAATGATAATTTATATTTGAGTATTTAATGTTAATATACACTATTGAAAGAAAAACATCCTAGAAACAAATTGTTCACTAAGAACATACTTTTCTCTGTTCATAATTAATTTTAAACTTGAATGTTAATTATAATATTAACCCAATAATGTTTTCTTTAGTATAAATTTGCATTCATTGCATACATTTGTTTTCTCAGCTATTTATTTATTATATTTATTTATTATATTTATTTATTATATTTATTTATTATATTTATTTATTATATTTATTTTACTACTTTATCTTCAGCCAGTAAACAATTTCCACAAGCTGTGAAGAAAAAGAAATCTGTGATATCACATTTCAGCCTCAATAAAACAAGGTAAAGATTATCTATTAGAATTGATTAGCAATCGTTTACAGTGTTAGGGAGTCAGCAT